GATCGGGGGGGAATTGTTATGAATTCAGAGGGATTTGGAGCTGAAATTAGGGTTTCCGGTGAAAGGGGATCGGAGAAGGGAGAAATAGAGATGGCAGTGAGAGAAATGGGGCATTTGGAAAATTCAACTGAAGTTAATTCCATTGAAGAGCCAGAGATCGACACGTGTAACCATCCGGAACGTCCGATGCTTATTGTGGAAAAGTGAAGAAGGCCGAACACGTGTTGAGAGAGAGAGTGGCATTTATTATCTAGTTTATTTATCTGTATTTTCTTTATTTGTTACAACTTATGAGAGTGCATGTGATTTGTTAGTGAGTGGGCCCATGTGGTCATTTTAAGAAGCTGTAAACTCACGCATTTGGGATTATAAAAAATATCATTTGATTCTCTCTTACTCTCTCTCCTCATGAAATCCTCCCCCTTTCTTCCTCTTTCTCTCTAATACATTTTCCCCCATTTCTATCTAATTATCTTAAAATTACAGAAAATAGACAAAAAAAATCCAAAAACATAACAATTATATAATTATATCCCATATATAATTATTTACAAAATAACTAAATTTGTTAAATTTATTTGCATATATGTCTAAAAATCTGTTTTACTAGTGCAAAAAAAAAAAAAAATAAATAAAAAAAATTGTTTTACATATTTATGGTATTGTTACTAGATAATGAAGGAATTAATGAGAGTATCGATTAACAAAAACTGATTTTATATTTACATGGTAATTTCCATCAACTACGCATCTCTCCTCTCCCTTCCCCCCGCTCTCTCTTCTTCACACACGACCCTCTCTCTATCTTCTTCACACAATTCCCGCCGCCACGCCCGGCTTCTCCGCCAAGTATGTCCCATTCAACGCCGTCCTCCACCGAGTCCTACTCCCTCGACGAGATCGTCTACCGAGCCATCCCCGCGGTCCAGTGCCGGCTCTTGGGCCAGACAGGCTAGGCAGGAGCCTAGGGCCACAATATTTTAGGGGCCTCCTCATACATATATATGTCTATATTTTATACTTTCTGTTGTGTTTTTTTTTTTTTTTTTTTTGTTATGTTGGTTGAACCCAAACTTCATTTACATCCATTTATACTTGTAGATATATTTTATTATGTTAGTTGGGCCTAAATTCCATTTATACTTCCATTTACATACTAATTTCATTTCAATTAGTTTATCTTGCTTTATAGAAAAATAATAATTAATTATAAATAAACAAATAAGAACTATCTGTTATTAATAAGTGAGTTAATGATTAATTATAGATAAACAAATAAGAACTATTTGTTATTAATAAGCGAGTTAATAATTAAATATAGATAAACAAATAAGAATTATTTGTTATTAATAAGTGAGTAAATGAAAATAAATTATATTAATATACATGTATAGTAATCATTAATTTTTTAATTTAAAAAGTTTCTATATTTTAATTTACTTATCTTTTTCATATTCATCGTATTTTTCATATTTATCATTGACAATGCTTGTTATTATTTGTTAAAATAAAAAAATAAAAATATGATTACGGCCACTCTTGAAAAAATTGCTTGGGGCCTCCAAATTTCTGGAGACGGCCCTGCCGCAGTCATCATCTACATGTAGGCGATGCGAGAATCTTTTTCTATGGAGTCGATGAGAGAGAAGATGAATATACTCTGGAGCATGATTTCCTCGATTACCGCCGGTGACGGCGTCCTCTAAAGAGGGTTTCGACGTCGCCACAATCGGGAGAGATGATTGGTTGGTTGCAGACAATTTGATTTTGCTTCGATTTTTTTAGGGTTTTTGATTGTGTGGAGATTAGTCATTACGTTGAAATTCGTAGACATTGGATTACAGTATATGTACAATATATGTACAATATATGTATAGTATATGACTTGGTCCTCCCGAGTTGTACAATATATGTACAGTATATGATTCGAAATCCTGGTCGACTGCCGTTGGTGGTGGAGTATTCGAGTAGTCGACATGCGGATTGTTTTGATTGGATCTATTTTCAATGTTTATTTGATGTTTATTTACAATTTATTTGTTATATATAGTCAATTTTTTTTTTATATTTAAATTAATGTTTTTTGTTTCATTTTTATTTACAGCAATAACTCATCATATTTACAGGTTATGTTGTTCCACTACGAAAAATAGAATGACTATAAATGCAACATACACTGAAAATATACTGAAAAGACAATGATTGTAAAAGCAACATACACTGAAAATATATTGAAATATAATGGTTATAAAAGCAACATACACTAAAACATTCATCGAACAGTAAACAAAAAACGAGAAGAATTAATTTTTGATGGAAGCAATTTTTTTTAGCACACGGACAAAAAAGAAAGAGAAGAAGTTGAATTGATATGGTAACTAAATTAAACATTAATGTAGTTAATTTTATCTTTTCGGTAAATATACAATTAATTTAATAGGTGTGGTTTTGTTGTAATATTTTCCATATATCGCAGGAGAGAAAAAAATTTCCGCTTTCTGTTTGATAAAAAGTCACGCCAAGTCTTGTTGAAGAAATTAGGGCTTGATTGTATACCAAATAATTTACTCACTTTTATTTCAACTCAAAATCTAACTAAACTTTAACTCAACTCCACTATATTTAATATTATTCATATAATTAAATAATACAAAACAATCATTCTTATACATTACATCAACTTTAATTCAGTATTCATCAACTCACATAATTTTAACTACCTATCATTTCCAATCATTTTCAATCATTTATATCTTACTTTTACATCAAATTAATTTTAATCATTTTATTTTAAATATTATTTTAATACATTTAAAATTCTACTAACAATTAACCATACCACATTTTTCAAAATGAACTACAGTTAACCAAAATAATTTATTTGAAACAAATTATTTCATAAACAATGAAGCCAATTCGCTCATATGTGTAAGCGGGCTTGGCAAGAGTCATAAATTGATAAATGACAGGCCAGCCCAATCAGAAGACATAAGTATTCAATAACTGAGATTGGGCTTAGCCATGGATGATGTCCACGAAAGAATTGAAAATACAGAATGTAAATAAGCGGGTCGGTGCGGTGTGATAAAAGGCGGTCTCTTCGTAGTTGGAAACACACTGACCTACTAGTGACCTGTGTCCGTCGGAGGAAGCTGAAAGCCTAGACTTTGGTCTCTCTCTCTCTCGCGAATTCTCTGCTCGGTCGCCATGTTTAAACTGTCGAGGCAGCTTCTGCACTCCTCAACGTAAGGCCCAATTTTTTTATTTATTTTTTTTTCTTTTTCTTCTAATTTCTTATTCGTGCGCTTAAAAACCCTACTTGAATGCTAATGTTTTCTTTCTTCTTTTGCCGAATGTATTTTCTTAGTATATCTGCGGTATATGATTTTGTGTTCGCTTAGTTCCTCGCTTAGCTTGCGACAATTGTGTATGTTTAGCCTTTGGGGATTTTTTTAGGTTTTATGAGAAATAAAAAGTGTTCCGACAAAAGACCAAATTTTTGTTTGAGTATCTGAACTAGCTGTCAGTTTAGTTGCATATATATGAAGGAAGTGTCTTCAGACTTCTCCTTTTAGTTGTATGAAAGATGAAATTGATTGACCTAATAGTACACCAGGCTTAAGATATTGTGTTTGTCTATTGATTGAGAGATATCGTCTAGCATCATTGATTGAGGATATATATTTATTTTCATTTACCTTTATTATTATTTCTTTTATGTTTAGTATTTACTTGGTAAGCGAATACTTATTATTCTTATTATTGGTATTAGAATATTTAGTAAGAGATCTTGTCGACAATTAGGAGTAGGGTTTAGGATCCTTATTTAAATTTAAAGGACTCGTCCTCTTTTGTGTTCTTCGGTTGATTATGAATAAAAGATGAATTGATATCGTGTTTAGGTGTTCTTGAGATTGCGATCTCATTAATATCGTCCTATTCGTATGCATCCCTACATCATTATGTTTGACTAATTATGATTCTGTTCGATGTGTTTATCTTCTCTTAGAAAGTTTTTTGTGGTGCTAGTTACTAGTTTTTTCTTCTATATGGAGCAGTGGTTTCATGTCTCTGAAGAATCTGGCCAATGGAGCTGCTAGTGACTTAAGAGTAGCCCGCAGCATAACTACTCAGACTGGGATCTCTTCTGCTATGCCGAAATTTGGACATGATGGTATTATATTGGCTTGAGTCTCATTTCCACTTAAACCTTCCTAAAGTTAATTTGTTCTTATAATGATCCCCCCTTTATTTTTTAAGGGAATACTTCTGCAAGAATATTTGCACCTTATTCAGTCTTCAAGGGAAAAGCTGCGCTTTCTGCTAAGCCTGTTCTCCCAATGTTTACTAAATCAGAAGTAAGATATTAAATGTGAAGAATAGATATTATCATGATGAAGATTCATCTTTTCTTTTTCCCCTTTTTCTTATTGGATTTTGATATTAACACTATGTTTCTACGCCCATCTTTTTTAGTCTGGAGCCTACAGAGCTGAACGCCGTGGTACCATTATGTTGACTTTCATGCCTGCTATCGGTGAACGCAAATATGATTGGGAGAAGAGGCAGGTAATTGATTTACTTGCTTTGAATCTTCTGTTAGCACCGAGAATTTGTAATTTGTTTGCCCGAAGTATATGTTCATTTTACAAGGATTTTGTATCTTATCTGAATAAGTATTCTCATGCATACTGTAGAGATTTGCTCTGTCGGCAACAGAGGTTGGTTCCTTTATCAGTTTGGGTGCAAATGATTCTTGTGAATTTTTCCATGATCCAGCAATGAAGTCCAGGTTGATTTTCTCTTTGGTTCTGAATTGTCTGAGTCCTTTCTATTTATGTTTTATTAAGTGTCGCAACAGGGTCTGAAAAGGAAAAAAAGAAGTATCTCCAATTCCTTTCTGTTCCTGCTTTTGTATGGACATTTATCTGATATATAGTAGTTCACAGTAATGCAGGTCAAGTTAGGAAGAGTTTATCTGTCAAAGCCCATGCTGATGGGAGTGGCTACTTCATTTCTCTGAGTAAGTGCTCCTTTATTGTATGAAGACAGTCATGTAAAATGTTTGTATTCTTGAACATTGTGTGAAAAAGTCATCTCAATTATCTAACTTAGACTACCAGTACACACAAATTTAAATGTCATGAGCAGGACCTGGCTCAGTACCTTGTATTCTCCGTTAATCTTGAACTCCAGTGAAGTACTTAAACATAGGAGTGCATTATTGATTCCTAGTATACACATGCCTTGCAGGTGTTGTCAACAATATCCTCAAAACAAATGATCGGTTTACTGTTCCTGTCACTAGTGCTGAATTTGCAGTCATGCGAGCAGCTTTCACCGTAAGCCGTCCTTCCTTATTGGTTGTTTTATGTTGTTTCTGGTGAATGAAATCTCAAGTAATATTTTCCAATCAATTTGGAATATAAATCTTTTTTTTTTTTCAACTTCAATTCCTACATGATCAAGCGAGGCACCATCAAAACTTGAATATCTGCTTTCCTTCGAAAGTGGTATAGTTGGAATCAGCTTGCACATTATGTGATATGTGTTATTTATTTGTGTGTATTCCGCCTACGTGGATGTCTCCACCTTAACGACAGGAAAGAAAGATTGATCTACCATAGTGATCATTTATCAAAATATGACTTTGGTTATCAAATGATTGAACAACTGGGAGCAATTTACTTACGGTACTTAGTTGACATTTGGAACAAGTCTCTATTGAATTATGAGTTCAGTTCATCCTGTTTAGCAGTGTATTTCTTGCTTTTATCAGACACTCACTCATTCACAAACTTCATGTGGGACTAATACTTTGCATTTCCCATCTCATGAAATACCCTTTTCACTTGGTTTAGCCTTATCCCCCTCTAGGGGGATTTTAGTATTAGGTTCTATAGGAACTAGATGATCCTATTTGGTCAAATGCTTAGTGACAATCCTATGTTTCTTTTATTATGGTATCTCCGACGAAGTGCCTGGTTAACAAGGATCCTGAAGATTTTTTTGAGGAGGATGATCTCAATGAGATTTTTGATAGTGACAATTTTTTTTTTGGTTGTGACAATATTGATGGTTAGTGACAAGACTTTAATGCTTGTGATTATTCATTTGTTGTTTTTTGTATGCAGTTTGCTTTGCCTCACATAATGGGTTGGGACAAATTAACCAATCAGCAGCTAGAGTTTGCCGCTAGTAGAGGTTCAGCACCTGTGGCAGTCGCTGATCTTCAGAGCTCCGAGTGGGATAGATAAGATGAATTAATGATTTGTTACATTTTGTGAAGCGGATGAATGTAGCCCTTGCAGCAGCAGTATTACTCCATGGGTTGAATGTTTAACAAACTTATGTCCATTTTCAATAGAACAGACTAGTCTGAGTTCTGGGTGTTTCTGAACAATTAGGAAATTGAGTAAGCCCGGCATGTGGCACCATATCTCTATTTTCCCAAAGACATGCCCTTGTTGGATTATTATTATTATTAATTATGTTTTGTTTGTGTAGTATCTTTTTGAGCCTGAGATGAGGAGAATCTGAATGCTCTGTTTGCTTAAAATTTGGTTAACTCAAAGCAAAGCTTCAAAGATACATCTTCTTAAGTTTGAAGCACATCTCCTACACAAATAATGTTGGATATTTTTAACGAATGCACTCAATACCATGGCATATGACTAACCAAATTACGAACAGAAGAAGACAAACAGCAGCATCCACGGCTAGAACAATCCGAACTTGGCGCCACCACTTGTTTATCTGATTTTGAGTATGCGCCTTATTATTAGTAGTATTATTAATAATTCTTGTTGTGGAACTAGTGCCACCATTTCCCAATGGAGAAGAAGGCTGTTGGTTGATTTTGATTCCATTGTCAGTAGAGGACCTCCTCCTATGGGTCTCGTCCCCCATCTCAATAGCAATCACCACATCGTGTTCCTTGTTCGTTTTCATCATCATCTTCTTCTTCTTCTTATTGTCTTGTTTTGTAGGCTTTCCCAGCAAGGGCGCTTTTGTTGAACCACCAGTTTCATCATCCACTAGTGCTTTGTCTTGGCTACAGGTATTATTATTTGACCATTCGGTGATTTGCTGTTGCTGCTGTTCTAAAGAGGCAACCAACCGAGCCACAACCGGAAAGAACTGCTGCTGCAGACAGAGCGAGTCGAGAGTCGTCACGCTTCTTTTTGCAAACTCGTCTCTCAACTTCTCAAGAAATGTAATAAAGTGGGAGTTACCGAGACTCTGGTGCACAATCGCAAAATACACGAAACCGCGGTCCATGAGAAAACCAAAAGTGTATCTGCCAACTGTTTGGAAATACCATTGGTGATAAGGTGGGGCCATCTGGAGACACGATGCTGCCAGCTTGTCCAAGTCGTGATGTTGGCCGGTATTATTATTATTATAATTGTTGTAAGTGTACAGAGCTCGGCCTGCCTTCCATACGCAGCAGTAGCTGACACTGTTGTTGTTGTTGTTGTTGTTGTTGTTCCCACCAGAATCCATAGAATCCTCCTAGCCTCTGTCAAAAGACAGAGATATTTGGATTCTTCAAAATGATCGATCTAATAAGCGATCAAGTAATTAATTAATCAGCTAATAAGAATACAAAAAAGTCTAAGATACAAATAAAAAGGGTTTTGTGGTGTATAATTAAAGATGAGGAGAAGAGAAGTTAGTGGCAATCACGACACACAACAAACCGAATACAATAATATACTCACAGAGACTTTTGTCTCCTCAGCCACAGCTAGCTAGCTAGCGTAATTCACATTTCCTTTCAGCTTAGCTGTTGTATCAACAGATTATATTCATTATTCTTTTTTTTTTTTTTGGTAAGATATTAAAAAGGAAGGATAGATATGACAATAATGATATCTTCGTTGTTGACTAGGTCATTGTGATTGTATCACTGGGTGGGTCTTGCCGTCTTGGCCTTTATATCTTCTTCTTCTTCTTCTTCTTCTTTTTTTTATTTGTTTTTTTCAATGTAAATGGACCCCTGGGAATGCTAACGCGTAACCAACCGCTTCATTAATGAAAATTTTGAACAAATTCTCTTCTTGTCTTTGCATTTACAAAATTGTCTCCTTTTGTCTTTTCCAATTTTAGAAAAAAAAAAGAAAAAGAAAAAAGAGGATTAAAACTAATATTTCTGCAATAAGAAAAAAAAAAAAAAAGAAGAAGAAAGAAAATTACATCATTTTCCCAAAGAGAAATTAAAAGGAAGTATTTTCTTTTCCTCTTTCAAGTGGTCTCTTTTGATTATTATGTATTACTGTGTAGCCTACCTCAAGTTTCTTTTGTATTTTTCATTCAAGTAAATTAGTTAACTACTCCAACTTTGTAGCACATACAAACAAAGCTTCACATCGAAAAACATCCATCCAATTTAGAGAAAAAATAGTTTACAGAGGCCATCTTCTACACCAGTTGATATATAGCAGCAACAAATTTATGCATATGCATCCCTTGATAAAAATACCACTGCAAATCCCAACCACATTCTACCCATTCTCCAACAGTGTTCTATCATCATTGTTACATTACATATAGCTACGTGTACAAAATCAGTCAACCAACAACACAAATATATAGTCAATAAGTGATGCTCATCATCAGCCAATCCACCACCCCTATGGAAACAACAAGTTCCAATTCCAATAATCTAGGCAAAGACTCGATGAGTTAACCTAAATGTACACTCCTCATGCTTCTCTAATCTAACATGTGTGTGTGTTTGTGTGTGTGTGTGTGTTACTGTAAACCGACATGCGAATACCAAAGTCCAGCACATGCATGGGTTTCTCATAAACAAACACATACAGATCATCCCACTATTGAATCTATGACACAATCCGAGGTTTATGATTAATCACTTGGCAGTCTCTGTACCCCTTTCAACCTCAGCATATTGAACAACTGTGGGAACAACTCTTTCATCTCTGTCCTCAGACTCTGGAGGCTGCTGGCTAGTTTGAGGGTCTTCATTAGTCTGTTGACGAGACATTTCATCGTCATTCTCCACATGTAAAGAACTTGTTTCGAAACCTTCAGCACTATCCGGTGCTTTAGTAGAAGCAGCAAGGAGGGACTGGCGGCAAAGGGGGCAAGTGGTGTGTGTCGATAGCCAGAGGTCGATGCAGTACATGTGAAACGTATGCCCGCACGCTGGTATTTGCTGAAGTCTATCTTCCCCTAGGTAATCCCCAAGGCACACCGAGCATCTACCATTACACCCCGAAAAAAAAAAAAAAAAAAAGTTTTTCGAATTATGTACAATTATGATAGTGAATTTCAGAAAACTGAAGTAAAACAAACATTTAAATGCTCACTTCAAATAGTGTTAACAGAAAAAAGGTCAAGTTTGCAACGCAAATGAAGTACCAAACCACCATATCAAGATCAGCCAAGTTCAGGAAAGCAGTAACCTTTTCATTCTTGATTTCTTTCCAAGGCTTTTGTAAATCAATTGGAGAAATGAGATCAACCAGTCACTAGGTCCACAAGGATCTACAAACTATTTGAAATCTGAGTCTTTCTAGTGATTGAAGTTTAGTTACCAATCTATTTCAACCTTCATTTATCTTCCCTCGATGTTTCAGCTTTTCAGCCTTTCACTTATCTAATGCATCACAATTTACCAAATGTAAAATCGGTGCCTTTTTCCTATAAATACACATTGTTGAGTTCGCAATAAATTCGTATCGACTCTTGTCCATGTGTGATTATTTATTGAAGAGCTTCCAAACGATCCATGATCCCTAATTGAATCTCCTACATTTACAGCTGTGTGAATTTATTTTCCAGTTCAGAAAATATGGAAAAAAAGAAGAAGATGAATTCGATAGATCATCATTGTGTTGATCACAGGAAATCTGTAATGCTAAAATTTAAAATGTTGAAGTTAAGTCCATCACTAATTCACCAACAAATAAAATGATGTGTGTTAATGATCTTCAACTGGAGAATGAATAAGGCAACTGCAAGATACATACCCTGACCTCCTTCAATAAATGAAGACAAACTACAAAATAAAAGAAAAGAGAGAAAAAATGACAGGAGAAACCTGGAGAAAGAAAGAAGATTAGGACGTTGAACCTGTCAGTTAGTTATACAAACAAGCCAAAGGCCTTATGCCAACCATCTACAAACAAAGACATATATAGCTTCCAGCTGGAACAGGTTCAACTACCATAATTGCATTTCACAAGTTATCCATTAATAAGTTCCACAAACATCTTTGGATTATGAAATGGATATTCCATATGGTCAGTCCACCAACTAACCAGCTGAAATGTGACATAAGGACTCATTGGAACAAAATAAGGCAATATAACCAGCATTACCAAACACCTACTCGAGTCAAATATTTGATTTATATGCCAATCAATCTACGAAATTATGCATTTCCTCTCTTTAATTGAAATCTGAAACACCCCTCTTCATCATATCTAAGGTGTTTTGTCTGACAGAAAGAACTTAAAGGAACCTCAATATTAAATTTAAGAAAGAATTTTGCAGGGCACCAATGAATTTATCGTACCATTAAACTTGGGAAGGAAAAAAGGAACTGTTTTTCTCCAACAAAGGAACCAACTTACTGAGTCTCTTTGACAAAAAAGCTTTTCTTGAACACGATTATTGGTAGCATCTCTCTCAGCTCTTTCTTCAGCCCCATTTCACACTACCAACCCAAAAAAAATTAAAACGAATTAGAGGAGGCAACCCAGCATTGTATCTTTCCTGACAAATTGATGAAAAATAAACAGAAAACAATTAAAAAAAAAAAAAAATATTCCATTCTGGATTGAGTTTGAGGGAGACGTACCCTGGATAGGTCATTACTTTGAGAAGGCAGCATGGATGTATTAGAAGTCCTCATTCTCAGAGAAGACCAGTCCACCCTCCGCCGACGGAGATAAAACAAATAAAATAAGAGGACAAGTATGAAAGTGAAGAAAATCGGCACAGAAAAGATGAAAGCTTGGTACAGTTTCAACTCGGATGAAACTCGAGCATTGCTTGCACCATTATAGTTATTGGTTGTTTCTTGATCTGAAACGTCATTTTTAACAACACTATTAGACATCACCAACAGAAAGATTGCTTTTTTCTCCCTTTGAATAATAATAATACCCCACAAGCAAATGAAATCACATTCATTCAGGCTCTAGATGTACGAACAATAAAGGCCCAATAAGTCAAAACATAGAAAGATTGGATCTTTTTGGATTTAGAGATAGATGAAAGACAGAACTGGGTCAGGTTGTTCGACATTCGTCTGTGATAAAAGGCGAATTGGGTGCTGTGAATGAGGATCATAAATAACAACGAGTAGAAGAAACCAAAGATCTGCAAATTAGGTTGAACTGTTGAAGATGTGAAGAAGTAGCAGTGTAACATAGAGATGTTGGTGATATTAGTACATCCGAATTGCTTAATATAAAATAAAGAGATTTTCTTTTTCATTGCGTAACATCACAGGGACGGGCAATTGCTTGCTGCCTTTGTAATTGATGAGATCTGTGAACCGGATTATTATATGAACCGTCCGATGGTGACGGCTATCTTTTTAATAGTCCTTATTTAAAGTAAACAGGTTTGTTTTCTTTCCTACTCTAAAAAAAAAAACGGAAAATTCCATTTAAATCCCCCCTCCTTTTTACAATTTTCTGTTCAGTCCCCCCTTTAATTTTTTTCCTCTGCACTCCCTTCC